TTTTTACCGTATAGTTGTGGTCGGGTGGGTGTGTTGCACCGTTAGTTGTCGCCGGTTGTCGTGGGTGTGTTTCATCGTTAGTTGTCGGTTGTTGCGGTGGGTGGGTTTTACGTTAGTTGTCGTTGTCGTGGGTGTGGTTTCACGTTAGTTGTTACAGCTAGCTGTCGTGGGGGTGTTTCACCGTTAGATTGTTACAGCTAGCCTGTCGTGGTGTGTTTCACCGTCCCGTTAGTTGTCGCTTGTCGTGGGTGTGTTTCACCGTTAGTTGTCGCTTGTCGTGGGTGTGTTTCACCGTTAGTTGTCGCTTGTCGTGGGTGTGTTTCACCGTTATTTGTCGCCTGTCGTGGCGTGTTTCACCGTTAGTTGTCGCTTGTCGTGGGTGTGTTTCACCGTTATTTGTCGCCTGTCGTGGCGTGTTTCACCGTTAGTTGTCGCTTGTCGTGGGTGTGTTTCACCGTTATTTGTCGCTTGTCGTGGGTGTGTTTCATCGTTAGTTGTTACAGCTAGCTGTCGTGGTGTGTTTCGCCGTTAGTTGTTACAGCTAGCTGTCGTTGTGACGATCGATTGCTCTACAGGGTTGCTGTTCCCGAAGCGGCCGCTCCCAAAGATCGACATTTCACTAAATATGTCTTCCGGCTGCGCTGCTGCGCTGCTGCGTTGCCATAATTGATCAGCGGCTATGCGAATTTTATCTCTGCTCGTCGTTTGCTGGCTGCGTCGCTTGGGACGTCATAAAAGATGCTGGCGGCGCGCCGCTGATATTGTCTCACGGTTCATATGTATCTATAGGGGGACAATCTTGATCAAATCTCGCAAGTTCGCTTTAATGGCACCGAGTAAAACAGTAAGTATGCGATTCTGATCATATTAGATCTATGGGGTCTAGCACATGACATTTATATTGGCCGCATATGTTACGAGGGGCAGTCTGTGGTCGCTATGTTAATTGGCCGCGACCTGGCCGTTCGCGAATATTGTGCCGCAGAGCGAAAAAGACGACACACCCGGAGCAAGTTCAAAATTCGTATCGTCTCGTAATTAAGTTCACCGTGCAATTCACGGGCGCAATCAACGCGCCCACGCGCCTACCCCCTACAAATTCGATCAGCGTATAGCTTACGAGTCAACACTGTCGCGAAAATCATCGAAATCACAAATATCAATTGCATGCAGATGCAATAGCGACCAATCAAGCAAGAGACACTCGTCAGTCAACAGAATGATGGACGAGAATGCAGGCCACAGCTGCCACGTATCTCATCAATCAGACGCCGCTAGGGGGACCCGCGAGCGCTCCGCAATTACGACAACGCGAAGACGACAACTCGCTTCCGGAATTTGGCTCTCGGAACTCGGCAAGCGGGCAAGACGCATAATTTTAATGGGACGCTTCGCCTATCACCGGTACTCGCTGCGCTCGGCGTTTTTCACAGCTCCTATGGCGCTATTGCGTGCGCGAAGTGTAGAGCGAGCGAGCTGTAAGCTATAATACACGTGAGATACCCGTGGAGTATATAAGCTCTGACGGTATTCCAAACCATGCACAGACACGCCACCTCAGTTCAGAAGGCGTATAGGATATAGTTTTTAGACTTAGGTTTCGGTTCATTTCTGAGCGAGTTACTCGATATCTGAGAGGAATTGAACGAAGCCAGTTACAGTATTGTCATTGCCGAGAGAGTGCTTCGATATCCAGACGAGCTACTTAAAACTAACAACCATAGGGTACAGAAAAGCGATAGAAAAACAATCATACAAACGTCGACGTATACGTGGTAGTTTTACTTAAATTGACTACGTCACGAATTTTTTATGGTAAAATTTGTAAAATGTTTATTGCCATTTTTTTACATTAAAAGTAAGAACTAACGGGACTAAACGTATCGTCAAATTCTTACCTGATGAGATTGTTTCTCAACTAGTTAAAAATCCAAAAAACCTGGACGATTTGATATTATGTTTCTGACATTAATTGCTTGCTATGGGCTATGTATGATTTACGAGTGTATGTTCACATCGAACAATATAGTAAAATAGGAAGTATAATGCAGCAATTTAACCATAAGAAGTGTACAGACTTACTTATATTTTGTGAAAAAGTGAGATTTTTTTTTCAATTTTTACTATTTACGGTGACGTAATCACTTTAACTATTAAAGAAATTCCCGTGCGCATACACGCACATATTCAGCGCGAAAAGCATTAAAACACCACTGGGGTCCGTCGAGCATTAACTATTTGCACTCGCTGTATTTTTTTGCTGGTGTTTCATCGTATTCGCAATTTCCTCTCAAGTCTCTCACAGCGTCTCAACTCACGACCAGTGACGGCGCTCGCGTTTCCGTTTCAGCGTTTATAAAAGCCCACCCATCGTGAGTACTCGTAATAAAAAACAAACAGTTTGCTCCGGCTATACATCCTGAAAGCTGGCCATGAATCGTTCACGTGACGCTACGTCATTAGCGACAAGCGGTGGCTAAATGTCCACTCTTATCCATGTCACGCAACTAGATTTGTCAGCGCGGGCAATATCGCAGTGTGTGTGTGTGTGAGCTGACAGTTGTCATGCAGCGACAAGTTGGCGACTCCTGTGAGAAATTAGCCGGTGGCGTACAATCTGTCTTACTCGCTGATGCACTCGTTGATCAAAACTCGTCATTAAACGCTTCCCGTGGGAATTGTGCTATCAAGGACGCTCGTGATCGAAATACACAGCATGGATTAAGCGCAAAGCGTCGAGAGCTGCAGCGAGCAGAGGTGCTCTGGTCCGCGACATGCATACATTTATGAGGGGAAGTAGCTGAGAACATGCCAAGACTCTTGTGGATTTCATCTTATATATATTTTTCATTTGACCAATTAATCATGAACTTTGAAGAATTCATCAGCTAGGAGTTGATCGTCTAATAAAAAATGAGAAATATTATCGCGAATACTAGCAGACTATTTTAACGCACAAACAACGTTAGTTAACCTCTATTTCTTTTTCTTTTTTGTACACGGCAAGGAATCAGCTTCCATGGAACCCAATTGATTCAATTGAAACGATGAATACGCCATGGGCAATGGCATAATAAACCATTAGCATGATAAATATTAATTGCTATCATCCTGAAATATCACCACCAGTGATACTCAATTTTTCTGCTATATATATATATATATATATATATATATATGCATACATACATACGTTGTCAATCTCACATAAATTATGAATGTAATTAAATTTGCGGAGCGAAATTTCATTAATAATTCAATCGTTCAGTGTTATTTTCGTCGCGGCATGGCGCTGCTGCTGCTGACCCACGTTCCCACGTACCTCTGCTCGGTATCTCCACACACACATCGTTTTTGCAGCAGTCGTCGCTGTAGACACACGTCTTACCGATGCACTTTAGTGGATCCTCCTCGACAAAGTTGACCAGCTCTCCGTCGTTCTGCGCCTACATGGTGGAAACAAAATCAACGTTATCATCATATAGGCGAGGGAAAGCCGCGTTCTCGATTATCACATCGATCTGGCAGCATCACGATGTTCGCTCGTCCGTGTTATCTTTAGCATCTACGCAAATTTAAAATAAACACGCTCAGGTTACGTGCTACAACATTCTCGGACGCGGGCAAATATGGTCTGAATCAGATAGGCACGGAAATAAATCGGCAGCACTATAAAATATTCAATCACTCAGCGCCTTATTCGAATCGCCGCATGCCGACACTGGCACGAGGGCGGGGTTTAATCCATTGAATGGAATAACAACGGATCGACGATGGCGTTCGTAAGGCTTACGTGCCGCCTGCGTATGATGTGTGTGTGTGTGTGTGTGTGTGTGTGTGTGTGTGTGTGTGTGTGTGTGTGTGTGTGTGTGTGTGTTTGCGTGTGTGTGTGTGTGTGTACAACTTAGTTTTCGCAAAAAAATGTCAAAGGGTTCAAAGGCAGCCTTGGTCTCACAACGGAAACCCTAGCGCAGTGAACGTTTAGACGTTTAGCCGGACAAAGCGAAGCGAAGGATGACAGATAAAAGTTAGATACCCCAACGCGAGATTGCTTTCAGAATATCAATCGAACAGAAACAGAATGGCAAATGAGAAGCGGAGCTTGGCGACTTTATTAAATTAAGCCGCTCCTTTATAAGCTGGAAGGAGTTAGGTGTAGCAAAATGAAACTGGGCAACAGTGTAAATTGTCATAGAGAAGAGGGAAACATTCGGTAGTGTCACTAGACTCGCTGGGTTTCTCGTACAATCGATGCATGTATAGCCACATTATCGGGAAATTTATCGGGAAATTACGCAAATATTTCAACGCTCAAGTTCGATTCGAGTAAGATTAAAATTGTTATTCAAATGTTAAAGATATCAAACTAAAACAGCAAGCGTGTTTTGTAGAAATGCCGATGACACTTATCCCATAACCTTTTAAGTTAGCCTTTAGAATTAGATAAAGTTAAATAATTTTTGAGTGCGTAATGTAATTGCATGTCATAGTGTGTGTGGTCGGGTGAAGGACATGAGTATATTATGATGATGCTTTTCATTATAGCGATTTCGGTACACCAAATCCGTGCTGTTCGAAATCACCACTGACACTTACATTACAAATATAGAACTATCCAACGCCGAATACAACAACTCCATGCAGCAATAAAATGCACACTTGAAATTATCTAGTTGAGTAGCATATACAGTTCAGTCCGTGCGGTGCAGTGTAGCCAGTTTGCATTTCAGGCTTATGCTAGTAAAGGAGCTAATAGCCATATATAAATTAGATGAATGATGAAAATCCCCTTTATGCACAAAAGCATGAAAATCGGCACACAGGTCGCTTTGGATATGTACATCTATATGAGATCGAGTACCCATCTCAATCGGCATGGCATCTGGCCGCCATCTTGAATTTCAAAATGGCCGCCATAAAAATAAATAATTATAGACCTATTGTGCCTTAACGGCTTGCGCATGACGGATCGGACAATATAAAAGTATGATGATCTTGCATGGGGTGCGTGGTGTCTTTTGAGGAGCTGGATCTCTTTATGCTATTGTGTCTGCGTGGGATCTAGTGTTCGTATGTGTGGCGGTGTCGTTGTATGATTTGCTATGATTGTAGGAGCTGGTGACCAACCATGGAAAGATATGAATCTTTGAGGTGATAGCTATGAATGAGGGATGCTTATGGTGTATAAAGACATGATATCTCTTTCTAACATTGCGTCCCCGTATATAGAAGCTGGCGCCTACGTATGGGCTCGTGTCATTGTACGTCGTGGTTACCATGCACGATGGTTGCTACATTGAACAATCTTTCGTAAATCATTGATGTGTTTATAATCTATACAATATAGATCTGTTTCGCATTACGTAGACTAAGCCGCTGCCTATATAAGCGGGCGCATCGATACACGAGGCGACGCCATGAAGACCAAGAACGTCTCATCTGATAAGCTTCCGCCAATTCCCAGTATCTGATTATAGATGGCGTAAATCAATTTCGCTCGATTCGCGCGCTCTTTCTATAAGCCCATAAACGCGTAACACACACGCACGCGCGTATGCACGAACGCACACCCACACACACACGCACGCACACGCACGCACACACACACGCGCACGCACACACACACACACGCGCGCGCACGCGCGCGCACACACACACACACACACACACACACACACACACACACATACACACACACACACA